AGGCCCTGTCCCCCCACAAAAAAAAGAAAAGAAAAAGAAAATTGTGGGTGGACAATATGACTTTTCCATTTACTTAACTATAGTCAGTAGTCAGTATACCTACAGAGATTTGCATCAAAGCTGAGATTCAAAAGTCTTTTAATTAAACCTCAACTCCGGTGATTCTAGCAAAACTTTACTGTTTGAAAGTTTATGATGCACTTCATAATTAAGATGAAACTTCAATATCAGTTCAATCCTTAGAGTTGAGGCAATCATATGAGATCTAATTAATGCAAAGACAGCATCAACTCAGGTTTTATAGCTCCTAGACCAACACTTGTTAAATAACGCTGCCTTCCATAATTGGTCCTTATTTTATTCTCTATGAAGTTCTTGTTTATCTAAATAGTACCTAGGAAAGCTGATACACTAACGTATACCTAGCAAGGTCAGAAAATTCCAAGTGTCAGGCTGGCACAGCGATTCACATCTGTAATCCCAACACTTTGGGAGGCCGTGGCAGGTAGATCACTTGAGTTCGAGACCAGCCTGGCCAACATGGTGAAATCCTCTCTCTACAAAATACAAAAATTAGCTGTGGGTGGTGGCCAGTGCCTGTAAAACCAGCTACTCCAGAGGCTGAGGTAGGAGAATCACTTGAACCTGGAAGGTGGATGTTACAGTGAGCAGAGATCACACCACTGCACTCCAGCCTGGGTGACAGAGCAAGACTGTCTCAATACAAAAAAATTAGCTGGGCGTGGTGGCGTGTACCTGTAATCCCAGCTACTCGGGAGGCTGAGGCAGGGGAATTGCTTAAACCAGGGAGACGGAGGTTGCAGTGAGCTGAGACTGAGACATTGTACTCCAGCCTGAGCGACAGAGTACTCCATCCAGCCCGAGCGACAGAGACTCGTCTCAAAAAAGAAAAAGAAAATTTCAAATTTCAGATTAAATATAAATAGCACTACTTAGTTTTCTGTCCAACATCTTTTCTTAATCTTCCTAATTGCCAAAACTTTCCTGTTTCTTGTCCACTCCCCTTTTTCCATCACTATAATTAATATTATTGTTATATAGTATCCTGTTACACAAAACATGCTGATTATAAGCAAATATATTCAGTCCACATTATATCAGAAAATATTTTAAGCACTTTACATGAAGCATCTCAAACCTCAATTTTTAAAAAACTTTATTTTTTATAAATTAGAGACAAGGTCTCATTACATGGCCTAAGTTAGTCTCCAACTCCTGAGGTCAAGTGATCCTCCTGCCTCAGCATCTCAAAGTGCTGCGATTACAAGCATGATCCACCAAGCTCAGCCATGAATTTTAAATAAGATAAACAGTGTAATCCCCTCTGGATGAGGCAAAAATCAGAACATCAGAGATTAAGTAATTTGCCCTAATTCACACAACTAATAAGAGGTAGAACTGGGATAAGTAAACAGTCTGACTCCAATGCCCACCATTCCTAATTTCTGTATGTGGTAAGAGCATGTAACTACATGGATTGTAAATCAATATACAGATAACTCAAAATTTGGGAGCTACAGAATTTGAAGAATCTTCTTTGCAAACACTTGACCCAAGCAAGAACTCTTAACTCCTTCCCAGAAATTAAAACTCCAATTTGAAAATAAAACAGGGCCACAGAACTATTTCAACAAATGTCTGACTCAGCACTGTCAATAACTTTCTGCAGTGATAGAATATTTTCTGTGGGCTGTCCAACATGGAAGCCACTAGCCACATGTGATTATTCAGCACCTGAAATGTATCTAGTATGACTAACTGAATTTTGAATATTTTGTAAATGAAGTTTAAATAGTCACATGTGGCTAGTGATTACCACACTAGACAGTACAGGCACAGAAGACAAAATGCCGGAAAAAGATAAGTGAAAAAATTCTCATTGCCTTCATTTAGAAATTAAACTAACACTAAAAATAATTTAAATCTCTTTTTTTACATGCTTCAGCTTAAATTATTACCTAAAATACAAACTTCCAAATGGATTTATATATGCAAGAACCTTCTATATTTAAGACCTACCGTGTATCTGAATTTAAAAAAATTAAATTTGTATCACAAAAAAAGCTTTGTATATTAGAATTCTTTTAGTATTGAATAGCTAAGAGGAAAATCTGAAAACTCTGCTACTGATGAGGAAAACTAAACAATAATAATAAAGAAAAAATAGTCAAGTTTTCAACTCTCTTCACAGAAAACAACTGATAATAAAGGGCTTACCTTGATTCTCCACTACTGTTTCTAACACTTTCTTCATCACTGTGTCCATTCATTGTAAATTATCAAGAAGTTTTAAAGTAAAATATAAATCTTCCCAGTTTAAAAGATGAATATAAATACTAACTCCTCCTTGAATATAAAAATTCACAGATGAATTTTCTTCAACATTCACAGGTTTCCTGGGACTCTCCTTTGATTCACCTAAAGAAAATATATTAACAAATTAAGAAAACTTCCTGCAGAAAAAAGGTAAATATGCCCTATTTAAAACATACAAATCTACGCAAGCCAATTAGATTAAAAGTCGTAAGGAAGAAGCGGGGGGTCTTTTATTAAATACTTAAAATATCTAGATATCTAGTAACTACACGCTGGATCTGACTACTAACTAAAATTTAGTATGCTACTGCTAATACACTTCGGACAGAAGAAATGAAAATATTTGTGGAGTGATAAGACTTTTAGAGACTAATTGCAACTGTCTAACACTGTTTATATATACACACATACATATATTTACACACACACACGTATATATACAGACTACTAAAGCAAGGTGGTAACCCATACATACATCCCAAGAGTAGATAACGGAGTCTTATTAGATAACTTGGTCAAATAAAGTGAGGGAGGGAAAAGGTTACCCTTGATCAAGTCCTCATTCCTATCACCAAGAACTTCATATACCTGAGTGAGAAAGTTTTGAAAATGCTCCCATGGGAGGAACAGGCAAATAAAAGGTATCACATCATCTCAACAAAAATGCCTAAGTCCAAATAAACATGTTCTTTCACAGGTAAACGGACAGTGGGATAAAATTTTTTAAATACTTATCCAGTTTTTCACTTGCTTTTTATTCTGCGGGAAAAAAAAGTAATAGAATATACGCTGTATCTGATTTCTTTAGTAAAAGATTTGGGGCAAAAATAATTATCCAAGGCACACCATTTCCACCTTACAAGATTTCAGTACAACACTGGAGAATCACCTACAAGCCATCCACGAATAAACAAAGGAGATCTCTGGCAGGGGAGGGAGAGGAAGAAGCGGGGGAAGGAGACGTCAGATCCTTCCCCAGCCAGAAAGTACCGAGACAGCCAACTGAGAGCAGAGCTGTCCTCCGACCTCAGCAAAGAGAATTCACTCCTACGATTATTTCCATTCCACAAAAGAGGGAGGGAAACAGACTGTTACCAACTCAATCAAAGCAAAGTCTGCATCTGGATCAGGATGTTAATTCTCTAGACTACAGTCCAGTAGACTCTGCAAGAACAGTTATCTAAAAAGTAATTCTACTCAACACATTTATTCCTAATGTTAAATATTAATCTCAACCCTAGTCAAAGAACCTTACTGAACAACTAAGTCTTAAAAATCTAAGTATGCTAACAAACTGCGTTTCCCGTTTCTTCGTTAAAAGAGTTCACTCCCTTTTTCGTTCCTTTTCACCTTCTTTTCGTCCCTCAAAATGGCTTTCTCTTAACATTTTAACTTCCTTTCCCCCCCATCTCCCTTACTCGAATAAGTCCTGTCTGAGACCCTTTTCACAACCCTAGTTTCTGAAGCTCCAAGTGCACACAGCTCCTTCCTCGTCCTTTCAAGCATCTCAACCATGACTACCCTAAGTTATTAAACCTCTTCAATCCTGTCTTTTAGCAGTTGCTCTGCTCCTGATAAGTTTTTAAAGCGGTACTCTAAAGGGGTTTGGAAACCATCCTCCTCGCTCATCCATCCAAAGCGCTCCAATCAGCCTCCCTCGCGGACCTGTCCCCCTCTCCCAGGGCCTCCTTCCCGGTCCGGGAGTCCCTCTTCCCGCCTCAAACTTCCCGCAGACCCGCCCCGCGCCCTCCCAGGCTCGCTCGAGCCGCCGCCCCCTCCCCCTCCCCCTCCCCGCCGCTCCCCACGTGCTGGGAGCCCGGGTCGCCGCAAGACCAACGCACAGGATAAGCGCTCGCCATTCGCGGGTCTCCTCTCGCGGCCCGGTCGGCTCCAAGCTCAAGAGGCCCTGGCAGGGCCGCCAGGCCAGCGGGAGGATGCGCTCTGCGGCCGCCGGCCCGTGTTCGCCGCTCACACGCCCCCTGCGCCCGCGGCCCGTACACCGCCACCGGCCCTCAGAGAGCCGCCCGGCCTTCGCCCAGCCGCTGGGCCGCCGCCCGGGCACCGCGCCGCGCCCGCCCTCCACCCGGCCGGCTCCTGTCCTTCCCGCCGCCCCCTTTCTTACCGGCGGGCTTGGCGGGGCGGAGGGAGCCGACTCGGGTCGACGGCCTCCCCCGCGCCCAGGATCTCCGCCGCCGAGTCCTAGGGCTCCGGGCGTTTCGGGGTAAGCAAGAGTCCGTGCGAGGGAGGGGGAAGGGGAAAGACGCGGAGGGGAAGGGGAAGCCCCAGCCCGCGGCACCAACGCGCGATCCCCCGCGAAGTGTATCCAACAATCAATTCATTATTGAAGCACCAAGGGCGAGAGCAGCAGGAGCCAGAAGTAACGAGTCGTCGCCGCCGCCGCCGTCGCGCGCGCGCTCCCGCTCCCGCCGCTTATCTGCCCCCGGCAGCCGCCATGATGCCGAGAGAGCGAGCGAGCGCAACCGTCTCCGTCGTAGCCGCCGCCGCCGCCGCCACCGAGGTCGCCGTCGCCTCCGCCTCCCGCGCGACGTAAGCGCCTGTGCTCACTCCCCTTCCTGACCGAGCGCGAGAAGGGCGAGCGGGCGCGCGCGCGCACGCCAAACCCTTTCTGCTCGCGCGCGGGCGGCGGGAGGGACTACGTTGAAGAGTCGTGGGCGTAGGAAAAAAGCGATTGGTGCTGGGGCGGGCAAAGGGCGAGCGCGCGCACGCGCACGAATGGGAGTGCGCACGCAGGCTGCGCGGAGGGCGCCGGACTCTGGCCGCGGCTGTAGTACGCTGATCCTCGCTTGGGTACCCACCCTTAGTGGCCCGGCGTTGAATTCCGGGAAGTGGGAGCTGCAGGCTCGCTCCGTGCGGGTATGGGCGCTAATGTGACTCGGGATGGTTGCGCAAGGACGTCGCGGCGGAGACTGACGAGGAACTGGGGAGAAACGGGGGTGGGGAGAGACAGCGATGGGACTCGGGAAGCGGCGGAAGGGCAGCGCTGAATAAGCCTAAAGGGCCGGGTCGCGCCAAGGGTCGGTGGCACAGGCCTCGGCTGCGTCGATTCGCCAGGCCGCAGGGCCCGGGCGGGGGCTGCTGCGTCACACCGGGCAACCTGGGAACGCCAGCTGTTGGCAACCGTGATGGCCTCTCGCCACCTCTTAGGCCTGGGCGATCTGCGATTGACGCTCCCTGGAAGCTGATGTCTCGCACGGGCAGGGCGCCTGAGGAGGAGAGAAAATAGAGACCCGGTTGTTGACAGCTTGCTAGGCTGCTTCATTCATGTGTGGGTAGCCTGGTTTAGAAATGTACCAGCCTTCCTTTCTAGGTTCCTCCCCAGAGGGCGGGGTGAAGGGTGCGGCGCCGAATCGCAACAAAAAAACGCTGCTCGAGGGATGTTAGTAACTGTCTCAGCTTAACTTCGTGCGTTTTAGTTGACAGCTTCTATCGTAACTGTAATTGTGGGCCTTAGTTAAATACCTTCAGTGTGTTGGATGGTAGTGTACTCATTCCCCGGTTTTTTGAAAACATTGTTTTTTAAATCAGAATTGTTTCACTTCCTTTTCTTCAGTCTGCAGATCGACTTGACTCACTCAAGGTTAATGATTTTTGTTTTTTTCTATTTATAGAGGCGGGATTTTGCCGTGTTACTAGGTTGGTCTCGAACTCCTGAGCTCAAGCGATCCACCTGCCTCTGTCTGCCAAAGTGCTGGAATTACAGGCATGAGCCACAGCGCCCAGTGACGGAGGTTAATAATTTTTAAAAGCTTCTAATCTCATTGTTAAGTTATTGGATTTGGTGTAAAGGCCCACTTTCCAACTCAAATGAGTTTGATTGCAGTAAGTGCGTTCCCCTAATAATTATTTTTCCTTTGTGGGAAATATTCCAGAGTTTTAGGCTACCAGCTGTTTAAACGGTTTGGTTCAAAGCCTTCAGAGAAATCTCAAAACATAACCCCACATATGTATTTACTACATATTGAAGGGTATATTCACCTGGAGGAGTAGGTGAAAGCAAACAGATGCCCATGGCCTTTTTGAAAACATCTATAAGCAATAATTGAATAGCAAAACTAAATGGAACACTACCATCCTTTGCAATATTAGTTAGCTTTAATTCTGAGTTGTGAGGAATAATAAGATCATAAAATCTTCATTTCTGAAGTCCCTAAAGTTATGAACTGAGTGCTAATTTTTCATATTAAGCTTTATGTAAATATCCTTAATGATAGGAATTTCCTGTGCCTCTAATTTCTCCAGAGAAACTAACCATTAACCTATAAAGACTGTTAGAATCAGAAGTATAGTTCAGTTAATAAAGTCCTCAGTTACAACTCTGACATTTTATCATTGTCTTATGAAAAGAATTACTGTATATACAATCTATTTTACGTTTTCTGAAAGCACGAGACCGTTTTTTTGTTTTTTTACTACTAATTGTGCCATCAAACATGCTATTCGAAAAAATATCTTGCCCAATTTGTAATAAAATGTTGAACCTTGGAGATTTAGATTTGGAGTAAAATCATACTTTATTGCTTCACTGAAGTACACACTAGGTGGAAAATTGCAGCAGTCTTGGCAGTTCATTTTTTTTAAAAAAGCATGTAGATAATCCAAAGGTACTTTGATGATTTTGTTATCAAGGTAGTTACATTTGCAGTTTCACTTTATTTGAATAAACTGGCTTTTTTTTTTTTTTTTTTTTTTTTGAGACTGAGTTTCGCTCTTGTTACCCAGGCTGGAGTGCAATGGCACGATCTCGGCTCACCGCAACCTCCGCCTCCTGGGCTCAGGCAATTCTCCTGCCTCAGCCTCCTAAGTAGCTGGGATTACAGGCATGCGCCACCACGCCCAGCTAGTTTTTTTGTATTTTTAGTAGAGATGGGATTTCATCAGGTTGGCCAGGCTGATGTCGAGCTCCTGACCTTTCATGATCCGCCCTCCTTAGCCTCCCAAAGTGCTGGGATTACTGGAGTGAGCCACCTTGCTCACCCTCACTCAGATTATTTATTCACTGTCCAAATATTGTTGGTCCTCTGTAACTTTCAGTACAGAGTTTCAACTGTAAGAGACTTGAGCATCCTCAGGTTTTGGTAAATGGGGGTCCTGAAACTAATTCCCTGCAAATACTGAGGGACAAACTGTACCACCCATTTTTTGCAGAAATTTTGTATTCATCCTTTTTCAATCCCACTACCAGGCTTAGTTTAGGCCTCTATTTTCTCTACATCTTTCACGTCAGCTTACCCTTTAGGTTTCTTTCAAACTTGAAATCTAATTAAATCACTCCCTTGCTTATATACCACATATATTTATAAACTAAACTTGCATGGATATAAACATATATGTACATATCATATACTCCTAATATTTTAGTTACTTAGCATTTTCACAGACTGATCTCAGTATTGTCTCCCATCATTCCTAATAGACACTTGACACTCTAGACACTTCTTCAGGTCACTGGAAAGGTATCTCTCTTTGTAAATGGATATAGCCCATTTATCTTATGGGTCAATCTTTTGTAGGTTCATTTAAGTAAATGCTCAAGAACCGTTGAGTACCCTGACACAATTGTGCTGACAACTTACGAGACTTGTCAGACAACTCTCTGACCTCCCTTTTAGGACATGGAATTGAGTATTCTGTAAGTGCAGCGTATCATTGTTTCACAATATAGCATTTGTTTCCATGCTACATTATGAGATCCTTAAGCAAAGAGACTGTGTGCTTTGTGTTGACATTCATTCAATAAAAATGTAAGATTGTATTACCAGACATTCTATTAGGAGTAGGGAGGGATCATAACACAGCAAAAACTAACACTTGCAAAGTTGAAGTCTAGTTCAGAAAACAGTTACACTATAAAATCACAGCTTAGAAAAGTAGTATGAAGAGACATACAGTGCTATGAGAATCCGTAATAAAGAACCCTAGTCGGGAAAATCTCAAGGAAGTGACATGATCCACATGATCTAGAGCTGAAGAATTAATGTGAATTAGGTAGACAAAAAAGGGAAATAAGAGTTGCTTTCTGGGTAAAAAAACAACATGGGCAAAAATTCTAGGGTCAAAGAGATCATGTCAATGCACTTACCAATTTGCCAAGAGCAGGCTATATTCACTTTCAGAAGTGTTTAGGTTTGGATAGTAAATTGCATGGCCGCCTTATCTATAAGGGATTCTAAGAAGCATGATACTGCTGGAGCAAATAGCAGCTGAACAAGATGAGGCTACATAGGCCGTTCAGGACCCAACTGCTGAGTAAAGTATGTATTTCAAGACGAGGAAAACTACTGAAGGACGTAACTGCGTGGTAGCTTGACGGGATTGGCAAATTGAAAATTTTACTTTTAGGCACAAATCCCAAAGAAGGATTAGATGTGCGTTGAAGTAGATACAGTATTCCTAATCCAGTCAGGAGTCTTTGGCAGATAAGAGGTTAGAAATGACATGATAGATTAGGGTAGGGGAGAGAATTAGAATTGGGAAGGATGACAAAACTCGATGGGATTGTATTCAGGCAGGGTTAAGAGGAGGGATGTTGAACATTTGTAACTGAATGACATTCACTTATATAGTAATGTATTTGGAGATGTATAGGTGGAGAGATCATTATGTTTGGTTTAAGACTTAAGAATTTCTAGGCCGGGCACGGTGGCTCACGCCTGTAATCCCAGCACTTTGGGAGGCCGAGGCGGGTAGATCACGAGGTCGAGAGATCGAGACCATTCTGGTCAACATGGTGAAACCCTGTCTCTACTAAAAATACAAAAATTACCTGGGCGTGGTGGCACACGCCTGTAGTCCCAGCTACTCGGGAGGCTGAGGCAGGAGAATTGCTTGAACCCAGGAGGTGGAGTTTGCAGTGAGCCGAGAATGCGCCATTGCACTCCAGCCTGGGCAACAAGAGGGAAACTTCATCTCAAAAAACAAACAAACAAACAAAAAAACAATTTATAGTGTAACAAACTCTTATTGCTGGTAGGGGTGCAAATTGGTTACAACCACTTTGGAAAATTGATGGGCAGTATTCATTATAGTTGAACTTACGCCTACCCTGTAATTCAGCAGTTTCACTCCTGAGTGTATACTTAAGATAAATGAATATATGTGCCTACTAAAAGTTTTATGTAACAATGTGTTCATAGCAGTTTGATTCATTATAGCCCCAAACTGGAATAAAGTGAAGTATATTCATAAAATTGAATATTATCTGGTAGTAAAACAGAAAATGCTATACACAGTAACATAGATAAATCTCACAGGCATTGCATTGGGTGAAATAAACACAAAAGAATTCATATAATTCAATTTATATGAAATTCAGAAACAAGTGAAACTAACTGATGATGGAAGTCAGGATGGTATTGACTTAGAAGGGGTTCTGGTGTTGGTATTGACTTAAAAGGGGCACAGTGAGCCCTCTGAAGTGATGGAAATGTACACCTTGATCTGGATGGTTGTTACACTGGTGTACGTGTATGAGAAAGTTCATCAAGCTGCACATTGAAATTTTGTGCAGTATATATGTTATACTGAAATTTTGTGAACTTTATATATGTTACACCTCGGGTTTTTTTAATTATTAATAAGAAAAACAGCAAAGCCAATTATTAACTTCTTGAAGTCTTCTGTCTCAGGCTTGGTTAAATATAGGGTCAGCTACCTAATCTCAATAAATATAAGTAACTCTAATGAATTATTTAGTAAAAAGAATATTGGATTTGGAATTGGACCTTGTTTGTTTAAAACTAGTCAAGAACAGTAGTGAGAATCTGGGAGAAAGAGTAGAACAACGAGTTCGATCTAGAACTGGCTGAACATCCAGTTGCGATAACTCACTACCTTTGGACCAGCTTCAGACCTAGTTTTATATCACAGCTTTATCTATCATTAGCTGTATAACATTGAGTAGGTCACTTATTTGGGAACTTTTTGTGACTATAAAAGAACAGAAGATCACTGAGCTGAGAGAAGTATAAAAAACATTTAAAAAATTTTTATCTTGATTCATGATCCCTCACAACTGAGAAACATCCACACACATTCAGAAATAGGCCTCAGCAGCTATGAATGTATTAGGTGACCTAACACCTCTGGCTTTAGCTAAGTGAACAACAGAACCCTATCTGAATGAATCAGATTGTTCTGAGAATTTAAAATTAGGATTGAGGAAAGCGTGTCAGACTGCTCATCACTTGAACTAGGAAAATATAAACTTAGGCCAAGGCTGCCTTGATCGGTAGCAAGCAGCATGTGGAGAATCTGACAGCTGTGATGCAGAACAAGAGTAATCTCAGATTACTTAAGTAATCTGTCACCCAGTGTTCTAAGTGCTATAAGTCTATGAAGTTGGGTACAGGTTTAGTATTCCTTATCCAAAAAGATTGGAACCAGAATTATTTAGGATTTGGGATTTTGGAATATTTGCATATATATAATTAGATATACTGGGGATGAGTACTCAAGTCTAAACATGAAATTCTTTTATGTTTTATATATACCTTATACACATAGCCTGAAAGCAATTTTATGTTTTCATAATTTTGTGCATGAAACGTGATGTATCATATGAGGTCAGTTGTGGAATTTTCCTTCTGTGATGTTGCGTAGGTGCTCAAAAAGTTTCATGAAGCAGGAAGAGTTCAAGACCTGCTGGGGCAACTTAGTGAAACCCAAGCTGTATTTAAAAAAATAATAATAAGTTTCAGATTTCGGAGCATTTCAGATTTTTTAATTAAGGGTAATCAACCTGTACTATTTTCCTTGCCTTACAGATAAGGAAACTAAGAAGCTTGCTTAAATTAGATGCTAAAGATAAGTAAAACCCAGGCAGTTTGACTCCAGAGTCTGCTTTCATGAAGCAGTACTGACATACCAGACATAGATATAGTAGCTGCCTTGGTTCCTGATTTTAGTGGCTTGCAAAGATAGGTCTGCTCCCTATCTTTGAATTATTTGTGATAATTTGTCCTTATAATAAAATTTTGTGTCTTTGCTTAATCTGGCTTGAGTCGATTTCAGCCAGTTGCAACTGAAAGAGCCCTGCCTCAGTTTGACCATGAGTGGGGTTGCAAATAACAGACCTCAGAGAAACTAAAACTGGCTGATTCAAGGTGAGATAGGTACGCCTTAAACGTGGACTTTCCATCATAAGATGGAAACTTAGTTTGTGTTATGCAGCAGTGAATCTTTTATCCAGACTTTTTCCATAGTGTTTTAGAACTCAGATTATATAGTCATTGAGTTGTGTATTAGAGAATTTGGTAGCCAAATATTTTTAAATATCAAGTATATTGGTTACTGTATATAAGTTTTGAAAAGTACATTGGAA